CCTCCGCTTGGGGCGGGCTGGGGAGCTCGGGTTTCCCCTGTGCGTGCGATTTCCTTTAATGAATTTATTTTTCTAAATTAAGAACAATGGGAGGGAGAGCAGCGACTCTGGTTTTCAAAACTGCGAGGCTGTGTGACCGACCCCACCCCATCCTAGCCCCATCCCTCCTCGTCCCCATCTACACCTTCCTCCCACTCCGTCCTGGGTGCACTTAAAACCGATTTACAGGGTTTCCATTAACTAACTGTCTGTGCACGCGGCTCGCCTTCTGTCTTTTTCAGTCTCGGAGCGGCGATTGGAAACCCGGACAGCCGCCCGCGACGGGATGGCTTTCCCAGTCTTGTCTCTCTCTCTCTCTCTCCCCCTGATGCTTAAGGACGGAACTGAGAGGCTTGGTATGAGCCTAGAGAGAGAGAGCGACCAACGCTATGAAACCCCAGGGCCCCCCTAACAGGAAGCCGTTCGGGAACTAGTTCTATCCATCGTGGAAAGTGCTCACTCGGGTCAGAGCAAAGCCTGGCCCCGCGTGGAGGAATCGGACCAAAAACTCTGTCCTTGAAACAGCGTGGGGTCACGGCACAGAAGGGAAGTAAGTTTCCCCCCGCTGCTGGGGAGACGGGAGCCCCATGTGGGGCTGACATCCCGCCAGCAGCATCTCCAGCTCGCCGCCTCCTCTCCGCGCCACTCCGCCCCTTGGCCCTGAGCGGGGAGCCTGGCAGTCGGGGCTGCCAACTTGTACCAGACGCACGGGAGGAAGCGCGGGCTCTGACAGTGTGGCATCTGAAAAGCGCTTCGGGAGAGGTTCACGTTACGCACGTCTGTGCGCGCAGCACCGGCCCTGCGCCCTTTGGCCTCTGGAAGCCCAGGGCTTCTCCCTTCAAGGACGAGCCGCCGGGGATGGAGGAGGTGGCGCCAAGGGGAACGCGGGAGGGGCGTCCGTGTAATTCACCGGCTGCAATGCAGTGGAGGTCTGGTGGCCAACGTAAACCTCTCTTCCCTGTTTGATGTGACGTCTGCTAACTTGGCCTTCCCTCCTTCGAGCGTGATCCTCTCCGAACTTGCTTTAGAACGACAGGAACTTGCAGGGCGGCCCCCTGCCCTCCGCCCCACGCTTAGGCTGCCTCCGGCCACAGGCAGAAACGCCAGAGAGAAGGCTGGCGGGGGGCGGGGGGGGGGG